CGACTGGCCCGCTGCGGGCGGCGACGGGGCCGATGCGGGCGGCGACGAGGCCGCTGCGCGCGGCGACTGGCCCGCTGCGGGCGGCGACGGGGCCGACGCGCGGGTCCTCGTCGCCCGTCGCAGCGCCTCCTGAGGGCGACGCGCCGAGTGGCGGGGCAGAAGCCCGCCGCACGCCTCGGGGCGCACAGCGGGCCAAGAACCGCCGCGCGCCTCGGGGCGCACGGCGGGCAGAAAACCGTCGCGCGCCTCGGGGCGCACGGCGGGAAGAAAAAACTGCCGCACGCCACGGGGCGTGCGGCACAGAGAGTAGCAGTAGTAGTTGCAGCGGAAGCAACGAGGTGGTGAGCCCACCCACAGGATCGATCCAAGAGGATCGACCTGCTCTAATAGCATGTGAAAATTTAGAAGAAAGAAGAGGGTTGAACTAGCAAGAATGGGGATACAAATAGCAAACCCTAGAAGGGCTGTACTCGCTATGGAGCACCCCACTACAGGCTAGAGCATAATATTCTGACATGATACTCCCCACCCGTTGCGTCACCAGCATGTTCTTCCTCTGGAACATCACCGATGCCAGTCACTGGACGGAACCATTGCAGCACTCGAGTCGCACCTCCTCATTTTCGGCTCCCATACTCCCCACTCCCATACTCCCCACCCCACCCCACTACGTGTTCCCCAGCCTGTTCCTCCACTGGAACATCACCGACGCCAAGGACGGAATCATCGCGGCGCTCGAGGCGAAGAAGGGCAGCGGCGGCGAGAAGGGCTGGTTGTCCGTTGGCTGGTCGGGCGGCAAGCCACGCAGGCGCATGATGTTCCCCTCGGACGTCGTGGTGGGGAATCATGTGGTCGTCGGCTCAACGGCCGTCAAGCCTACCGACGTGCTGGCATACTCGATGACCAAGGACAGCTTGAGCGGGATAAAAAGGACAACTGCTGTGATTCTCGCGGATACATCCGTGGTTTCCGTCGGCAGTGGCAGGATTATCAAGTGAGTTCACTTGATTTCGCTGTGCGGCAACCATTTGTCTTTGTTCTCTGTCAGATTTCCAGTTTTCTATCGGAAACTTATCGGCGGCATTCCCTGCTCGTACCGTTACTTTTCTTTTCTTTTATGTGCGTGTCGGTACATTCAGGTTCACTCGCAAGGGCGCGGGCGGCGTGGCATCTCAGGCTGTCTCTTACGAGTCGGGTGTCACCACCACCATGATCTGGGCCTTCTCAACTACCCCCGCATTCAAAACCCACACCAAAAAGTAACTCATCACACCCGTAACAATTCTCAAATCTGCTACTGACTAGATTCTATTCATACGGTAGCTGCTGTACCCTTTTCCTTCTTGCTACTGTCATCCCCTCCCCCCTCCCCCTCATCCCCTCCCCCTCCCCTCCCCTTTCCCCCTTGTTTTTGTTTCCTGTTTCGCCCACCAGGGGTGCCTTTTCTGTCAACCTTGGGTGCACCGTGTAGTCATGGTAGCAGGTCTGCAACTGGCATGGAAGGGAACTAGTGGATGATGGGAGTGGGTAGCATAGCATTTACCGCACTGTACCGGTACTGGTATCGTACTACAAATAGCTGTAAGGGAGTGACAGTGTCACAACTGGCATTGACGCCATCGGATAATGGCGCACCTCACCACCACCACCCGCTTAAGAAGGGTCTAACTTTTGTAAGGTGTTGATGCTTGCTATGATACCGTATTCTCCCGGATAAAACACCCCCCCGTAATTGTACACCCCCAGGTAGCTAATACGGGGTGGGTGTTATATCCGACCCCGTTAGTACTATACCCCCCTTTTTGGGGTGATTCTCTATAACACCCCCCTTTTCTTATAGATTCCTATTATAGCTGTTATTGAGTCCGATTCCTTACGGGAGGATATCGCGAAAATCACTCCCTAGAAGAAATTTCGCATGTACTTTCACTTAGAATCAGCCGAGATCAGTGCCCTAGATATTGAGAAAGTTTGAACGAGAATGAATGAACTATGAGTGAAGTGAGTACAAATAGCAAACCCTAATTGGGTTGTACCCCCTATGGGATACCCCACTATAGCCTACACAACAGCATATGCTACATAATGTTCTGACACACCCCCATAGGCAAATTGGGGTAGAACAAGGGGTCACAAGACCAGTCAAGCAAAGCTAAGCAAAGCTCAGGGTGGATCACAAAGTCACCACACAGTCCGAGCACAAGAGCAAGGCCACAAGGCCAGTTCACATGCAGGAGTACACACATATATATATATAGCTAGACAAGCAAGAGCAGGTATATATATGTGACAGTACAAGTAAGGTCAAGAGGAGAGCAAGTGAGGCAAGACAGGTACAAGACCCAACTGGGTGCAGAAGCGCTGATGGTCACAAGGCGCGAGTGCCTTGGTGAACACATCAGCAGTGTTGGCCTCAGAGGCCACGTACGCAAGCCGCAACTGTCCACGCTGCTGTAGCTCACGAGCAAGAAAGTAGCGAAGAGCAATGTGCTTCGTTCTGTGCTCCAGACGCTGCTCTCGACACAAGGCCAGCATGGCCTTGTTGTCTACGTACAGCACTGGAGGAGAACGAGGCGGCTCTCCAAGGTCAGTCAGCAGGTAGGTGAGCCAGCGTAACTCCTGTGCAGCCATGGCCCCTGCGTAGATCTCATCCTCACAACTCGAGCTGAGAACCAAAGACGAGAGAGTAGCCCGCCACGAGACAGAGCCGGAACCAAGGCTGAAGGTGTAACCCTGTGACGACCGCTGCGTAGCCTGGTCGTCAGCCCAAGAAGCGTCCGCGTGTCCCATAAGGACCACTTGACTCCGCCCTCCAAGCACTAGCCCCATGCCCGACGTACGGCACAGGTAGCGCAACACCCTCTTCGCTGCAGCCATGTGCTCTGGTCTGTGTCTCCCAGGAGCTACATAGCGTGCAAGAATGCTAAGAGGGTATGCAAGGTCAGGCCGTGTGCAGGTCATCAGGTACATGAGGCTGCCAACAAGCTCTGGGTACGGGCCACTCGACTCTACGGACTCATCCAAAGGCAGAGCTGAGAGCGAGTGGCGAGTAGACAGAGGAGTGGCCTGAGGCGAGGAGTACGTGAAGCCGAAGCGCTGAAGGACCTGCTGCACCATGTGTGACTGAGTCAAGGTAATGGTGCGGCGTGCTCTGTCCCGAGTGATCTGCAAGCCAAGATAGCTACGCAGTTCACCCAGGTCGGTGCACGTGTGTCTCTTCAGCAGCTCGGACTTCACGTAGGCGAGTCCAGCAGTGTCCGCTGTGGCAAAGACCAAGTTGTCGACGTACACAAGGATGTAGAACGGCGGCAGAGAAGTGTCGGTGCGCAGAAACAGCGACGGGTCAGTAGTACAAGGAGCAAACCCAAAAGCCGCAAGCGTAGTCCTCAGTGTGTCGTGCCACTCACGCGGTGCCTGGCGGAGACCGTAGACTGGCCGTCGGAGGCTCAACTGGGTGCCAGGAGGGAAAGTCCCAGTGAAGCCAGGTGGACGGCGCAGCCAGATCTCCTCGTGCTGGCTACCCTACAAGAACGCAGTGCTGAAGTCGAGAGAGTGAAGCTCGTAGTCGCGCTGAGCGGCTATGTGCAGCAGCACCCGAAGAGTGGTCATCTTCGGGGTGGGAGAGAAGGTCTGAAAGTAGTCAACTTTCTGCCGCTGACAGAAGCCACGAGCGACGTACCGCGCCTTGAAGACAGGTGGAGAGCCCGGCGGCCGCTTCACCCTGAAGATCCACATGCCACTGACGATGTTCGCCCCAGGAGGGGGAACCGCGTCAACGTAGGTGCCTGTGGACTTCCAGGAAGCCATCTCTGCATCCATAGCTGCCTGCCACTGAGAGGAGTAGGGACCCTCTACGGCCTCCGCGTAAGAGCGCGGAGTCGGGATGTCTAGTGCATCCGGGTCTCCCTCAGGAGCAAGCAGTACAGACGCGAGATGAGGTGAAGCAGCAGCCAGACACTGGAACTCCTCCTGCTTGTCCTCTAGGACGTCCGTGCCAAGAGCACACTCACCCCCGACGGACGGAGGACAGACAGACGCAGACTCAGCAACAAGACTGGCAGTGTAGTCTAGACGACAGCGAGCAGCAAAGTCGGCGAGCTCAGTGACAAGAGCAGACGCAGCAGCGGACTCAAAAGAGGGGTCAGTGACGACAGTAGCAAGCAGACGCGTGACAGTAGGACTGGCAGCACGAAGGGAGTCCGACTCTGGGTCGGCAAGCACAGGAAGGGAGGACTCAGGAGGAGAAGGCAAAGGGGCACGCAGAGGAGCAGTGGACGGACGCAGAGACATCCGGTGCGTGCCAGGGACAGGAGGAGGACGCTGACGCGAACCGCGACCACTAGCGCGAGCAGCACGAACAGGTGACGCGGGACGAGACGCAGGCTCACGGCGCTCAGCAAGACCCCCAGAAGGACCAGTGTAAGGAGAGGGAGCAGGCAGTGGGGAGGTAGGCTCCAACAGTGACTGTGACTGGACAGGCTATGGACACTCTACGGGAGGAGAAAGACCAAGAACCTACTGCAGGAGCGGAACGAAGTACGGCCGAGGCCGCGCGGCAACTCCAGACTCAGCAGGGACAGCACCAACACCCTCAGCGGCAGCACCAGCACCACCAACACCTCCAGCGGCAGGACCTTCAGCAGCACCAGCAGCAGGACCACCGCCAGGACAGACAGCAGTAGTCTCAGCACCAACACCCTCAGCAGCTCCAGCTCTAGTAGGACCCGCAAGCCCAGCAGCTCCGGGACCGGCGGCACCAGCACCCTTGGCGGTCGAAGAAGCTCCAACTCCAGCAGTACGCCTCCAGTGGCGAGCAAACCACTCGCGCAGCTCCTGTGGAGAGAGGGGCTCCCGCCGGGACGGAGCACCAGGAGAAACCCCAGGCTCAGCAGCTCCAGGCGCAGGACCCCCAGACTCAGCACCTCCAGGCTCAGCAGCTCCAAACGCAGCACCCCCAGGCTCAGCAGCTCCAGACTCAGCACCCCCAAACTCAGCACCCCCTAGCTCAGCAGCTCTAGGTACAGCACCCCCCGGCTCAGCACCCCCAGGCTCAGCACCCTCAGCAGTAGCACCCCTAGGCTCAGCACCCCCAATAGCAGCACCTCCAGGCTCGGCACCCCCAGGCTCAGCACCCACGCCCACAGCACCCCCAGAGTCAGCACCCCCAGGCTCAGCACCCGTAGCAGCACCAGAGTCACCAGTAACCTCGACCGGGGCAACTGCGTCTACCTGGGACACACCTGAGGGGGCAGGAACCTGAGGGGGGACGGGGTCTACCGGGGGGGGAACCGGCACAAGAAAGTCCGGTGGCGGGGGGAGAGAAGGAGTGCGGTAAGGGAAGAGGCGGTAGAAGGGGACTGACTCTTCGAACGTGACGTCCTGGGAGGACAGAACACGACGAGAGGAGGGGTGGTAGAACTGCCACCCTGGAGCGTCAGGGGGGAAGCCAAGGAAGACATAGGGAGCAGCACGAGGGGACAGCTTGTCCGCAGACAAGTCGCGGACAAACGCCCGAGATCCCCAGACACGGAACGCAGACGCATCGCCAACCTTCCCCGTCCACAGCAAGACTGGGGACATCGCGGGCCAAGAGACCCTGGGGTGGAGGTTGAGCTGATGCCCCGCGTACCGAACCGCAAACGGCCACAGAAAATGGGGGGCAGCCGCATGCATCATGGACGTACGAGCGACGTCCATGACCATGCCAATGCGGCGCTCGGCAATCCCATTTTGCTGTGGAGAGTCCGGAAGCGTAAAGGTCTGGCGGATCCCCCGTGCACAACAGTAGTCTCGCAGAAGGCGAGAGGAGAACTCCCCACCTCGGTCAGAGTGCAGACGCAGAGCAGGAAAGTCCGAGCCGAAGCTCCTCCTGAGCTGGAGACGAGCCTCGCGGATCCAGTCGATCAGCACCTCAGTGACAGCACCCTTGCTGCTCAAGGGGAAGACTGTGGTGTAACGCGAGTAGTCGTCAACCACCAACAGGAAGTAGCGCTCGTGACCCTGCCCACGGACGGGGGCCGGGCCCCACACGTCCATGTGAAGTGTCTGCAGAGGAGCCTCTGTCGGGGGAAACTGGGAGGAGTGAGGAGCAGCCCTGAGGCGCCCCTCGACACAGGGGACACAGGAAGGTCCTGGTCCCGAAGGAAGGGGAGGGAGAGACTGGGGAAGACCAGAGACAAGGATACGGGAAGCCATGCCCCGAAGACAGGGCAAGGAGGGGTGGCCAAGACGGTGGTGCCACAGGAGAGTCTCGTGAGACAGGAGGCGACACGAACAGGGGGCAGACTCAGGGACAGACCGGGACGCAGCAGCAAACACCTGACCTGACGCAGCTACCTGACCAGACGCAGGGACAGGAGGAGACTCAGTGGTCAGGGTGTAGAGGCTCGACCCCGGCCGACGCGAGAACGTGGCCAGGTGCCGGCCTGTGCATGCGTCCGTGCAGTGGGTCACCCGCTGACTCGTAGGAGTGAACTGGTGAACCCCCGCATCCTGCAGGTCCGCACCACTCACCAAGTTCGTCGAGAACGAGGGAAGGTACAGACCAGACAGGGTGCCCGAGGGGGCAGCCGGACACGGGAGGACAGTGGAAAAGTGAGAGAGGACAGGACCCCCAGAGGGGTCAGCCAGGGAGACTGCAACCGGCCGACCAAGCGGCGTGAGTGTGGTGCGGTCTCGAAAGAAGGAGCGAGAAGCTCCGAAGTCAAGTGTGAAAGTGAGGGAGGCCGAAGCCGACGCAGTACCTGAGAGCGCAGCCTCACTAGTACCTGAGAGCGCAGACGCACTGGCACCTAGAGCAGCAGTCTCACAAGCACCGAGCGCAGCAGTACCAATGCCCGGGTCGGGCGGGAAACACCGGTAACAGTCACCCTCCTCACTAATAGTCACAGCATACAGAGCAGTAAGGATAGCATCAAAGTCAAGATCAAAGATAGCTACACCAGCCCTAGACAGCTCTCCCCAGCGGGGGATCTCACTAGCCTCGGGGAACTGCTGACGCCAAGCGTCCGTCAGGCGGCCAAAGCAGCGCTCGGTGGGGTGGGCACCCCCACACTGCTCACCCGCGCGGTCGCCGGAACGAAAGACGTAGGTGCACGGACCAGTACCCCCACCCCGCTGACGCTGCGTGTACCACTTATGGAGCTGCTGGGGCGGAGGGATGTCCCGCGAACGCTGCTGCTGCTGCTGCTGGCGCTGACCACTCCCAGAGCCGCTCCGCTGCGGGGTACCACCCCGACCAGCTCCACCCCCTCTGCCACCACCGCCTCCTCCTCCGCCTCCTCCGCCGCCTCCACCTCCACCGCTACCGCCACCACCGCCGCCTCCTCCACCGCTGCCACCACCACCACCGCCGCCGCCACCACTCCCGCCGCCACCCCCACTCCCTCCGCCGCCTCCACCGCCACCTCCACCGCCCCCTCCAGCTCCACCCGCGCCCTTGCCCCCCTTGCCCTTGCCAGAGCGGCGTCTCCCACTAGGGGCAGACGCCGCGCCAACCGACTCAAGACCAAGCAGGTCGGCAGCAGCAGAAGAGGCAACAGAGGGCAGCAGGGGGGAAGGAGAGCACCCCTCAAAGATGAAAGTGCGAGGGTCACCCCGAGAAGCTTCTACAGCGACGATGCTCTTCTCCGCCGCTAGGAGGGCCTTCTCGAGGAGGTCGACAGTGAGGGTGGTGGGACAGACTGAGAGAAAGTGGTCCATGACTACGCGAAGAGAGTCAGGGAGGCGAGCGACAACGTAGTAGAGAGTGATGTACATGGGGGGGGGGTTCTTGGCGCAGAACTCAGCAGGAAGGGCGGCGCGGTAGCGGGTGTCACTAGTGCGGAGGTGCGTGATGAGGTCAGCGATAGTGGGAAAGGCAGTGAGGTCAGGAAAGAGGTACGGAAGCATGAGACGGCTCAGTGCAGCAGTGGCAGGGGAAGAGTAGCGCGCAACTACAGCGTCGTACAAGGTCTGAGCACTCTTGTACTGGCTAAAGTGCGCGCGCTCAGTGGTAGGGAGGTGGCGACGCACAGCAAGACGTGCAGCAGCATCGCGGGTGGCCCACTGAGAGCGAACAGTGGGGTCAGCATCAGCAGCAGGGGCAGGCGAGGCGCCAGAGGTGAGGTCAAAGAGAGAAAGACCGTCTACCCTATCGTACTGTAAGAACAGCTGGAGGTCGTCGACCCAGACCTCAAAGTCTATGGCTCGACCCTCAGCGTCAAAAGCGAGGACAGTAGGGGTAGTCATAGCGACAGACTAGCAGTGCAAGCAGTGGGGAAGGGCACGCAGTAGCAGTGGGGCAGTGCCGTGCTCACCAGAAAAGGGCAGGTGGGGCGGTCCGGTTCGTGGGCGGCTCGGCTGCTGTGGGGCGGCTCGGCAGCTCCTGGGCGGCTCGGCGGCTGCGGGGCGGCTCGGCAGCTACTAGGCGGCTCGGCTGCTGCTGGGCGGCTCGGCTGCTGCTGGGCGGCTCGGCTGCTGCTGGGCGGCTCGGCTGCTGCTGGGCGGCTCGGCTGCTACTGGGCGGCTCGGCTGCTGCTGGGCGGCTCGGTTGCTGCTGGGCGGCTCGGCTGCTGCTGGGCGGCTCGGCAACGGGGCGGCTCAGCTGCTGCAGTGCTGGGGCGGCGGGGCCGCGAGAGCAGGGACGGCGGGGCCGTGAACGCTGGGGCGGCGGGGCCGCGAGATCAGGGGCGGCGGGGCCGTAGGCGCTGGGGCGGCGGGGCCGCGAGATCAGGGGCAGCGGGGCCGCTGGAGCAGGGGCGGCAGGGCCGCGAGAGTAGGTGGCGACGGGGCCGCGTGAGAAGGGGCGGCGAGGGCCGCGAAAGCAGGGGCGGCGAGGGCCGCGAAAGTAGGGGCGGCAGGGCTGCGAGAGCAGAGGCCGCGGGGCCGCGACAGCAGGGGCGGCGGGACTGCGGGAGTAGGGGCCGCGGGGCCGCGTCAGCAGGGGCGACGGGGCCGCGCGAGCAGGGGCTGCGGGGCCGCGACAGCAGGGGCGGCGGGGCCGCGTGATCAGGGGCGACGGGGCCGCTTGAGCAGGGGCCGCGGGGCCGGGACAGCAGGGGCGACGGGGCCGCGCGAGCTGGGGCCGCGGGGCCGCGACAGCAGGGGTGGCGGGGCCGCGGGAGCAGGGGCCGCGGGGCCGCGACAGCAGGGGCGACGGGGCCGCGCGAGCAGGGGCTGCGGGGCCGCGACAGCAGGGGCGGCGGGGCCGCGTGATCAGGGGCGACGGGGCCGCGATGTGAGGGCGGCTGGGCCGCTAGGGGAGGGAGGGCCCGAGGCGCGACTCGGGATGGGCGCGCTCCGGGCAGTAAAAAAAAAAATTCGAACTAGCGGTGGGCCCTAGGTGAAGTTCCCACAGGGGAACCTGCCCGATACCATGAGAAAGTTTGAACGAGAATGAATGAACTATGAGTGAAGTGAGTACAAATAGCAAACCCTGATTGGGTTGTACCCCCTATGGGATACCCCACTATAGCCTACACAACAGCATAAGCTATATAATGTTCTGACAGATATCAGACTTTGGAGTCTGAATCAGAGTCCGTTCAGACTTTTTTTTTGTACCTAGTCTGAACTCAAAGAATTTATTGATGTACCTTGTCTGATTTTCCAGAGTTTTTTCTTATGAGTTGTCTGAAATTTCAGCCTAATTTTACTAGGGTAGGCTGAGCCTCAGACTTGTATCGGGGGTACACTCTGCGCGCTTATCGGAGCAAAGTTTCCTGGAAGTTTCCTTCCGATATGCCCACTTCCGAGATGGCAGTTGAGTGCCAGGACGTGAGCAACGCTCACTCCGACAGCTGGGACATCCAAATACACTCGTTCGTCGAGAATATCTTCCAGTTACGCTGAGGAAATGGTTGCGTGATTACGAGATTTCTGAAGAAAAAATCTCGTCACATGTAAGTTATCGCTAATGTATTGTAAAGAATAGGAGACTTTGATGCTGATTCGCTGTAAAAACATATGCAGCACGCACTGGTGTGAATTGCGAAGTTCCTGATTCGTACTGAAAGTTTCGTGTGGCACTTTCTGATCCTCACATGCCACGCCAAGCAACAGTTTCTGCCTGCTGCCAGCTCAGCTGCGTGGCACTTGGCCCACCTGATACAGACCGGGTGAACGATCGAATCGCTTGAAAAGAAAATCCAAAACTGACAAAATCGGCACACATGTGAGAAAATGGGTACAGAACGGTAATCACACACACGAGAAAACGAAATGAGATCAGCAGAGCAGAAACAACCATGCGCTGCACGTGACAAAAACACTGGAACGCCGCCGACATGAGCAGAGGCTATTGTCAGAACATTATAGCTTACTTATTTGTGTAGGCTATAGTGGGGTATCCCATAGGGGGTACAACCCAATTAGGGTTTCCTATTTGTACTCACCTCGTTCATAGTTCATTCATTCTCGTTCACTTCTTCACATGGTATCGAGCAGGTTCCCCTGTGGGAACTGTGCTTAGGGCCCACCACCACTACCTTGATTTTTTTTTTTCCTGCCCTAGCCGCTAGCGCGCCGCCCGCCCTAGCAACCCGAGCGCCGCCTTAGCGCCCGCGCCCTGCTGCCCGCCCTAGCGCCCTAGCGCCCGCGCGCTGCCCGCCCTAGCGCCCTAGCGCCCGCGCGCTGCCCTACGCAGCGCGTGAGCAGCTCGCGTGAGCCGCCCGTGCGCCGCCCAGAGCCGCCCGTCAGCTGCCCGCCCGCCCGTGCGCTAGCCTCCCGACGCGCCAGCCGCTCGACGCCCGCTAGCCGCCCGACGCCCGCTAGCCGCCCGGCACCCGCTAGCCGCCCGACGCCCGCGCGCCGCCCGACGCCCGCTAGCTGCCCGGCGCCCGCTAGCCGCCCGACGCCCGCGCGCCGCCCGACGCCCGCTAGCCGCGCGTGAGCCGCCCGTGCGTCGCCCTCAGCAGCCCGGCGCGCCGCCCGTGCAGCCGCCAGTGCAGCCGCCCGTGCAGCCGCCCACCGTGCCGCCCGTGAGCCGCCCGAGCAGCAGAGCCGCTGACCGCCCGAGCCGCCCGAGCCGCCCGAGCCGCCTGAGCCGCCCGAGCCGCCCGATCCGCCCGAGCCGCCCGAGCCGCCCGAGCCGCCTGAGGTGCCGAGCTCCTGCTCCTGTAGGGCTGCTGCTGCTCCTGGGCCGGCGGAGTTGCTGTGCTGCCGTGTTGCTGTGCTGCTGAGCGGCTCGACCCTTCCTGTCCGGTGAGACTGTCGGCTGCTATCATGGCCACCCCTAGTGTCCTGGCTTTTGACGCTGAGGGTCGCGCCATTGACTTTGCGGTCTGGGTCGACGACCTGCAGCTGTACTTGCTATGCGATACAGTAGATGAAGTTTCTCTCTTTGACTTTGTCTCTGGCGCTGTCCCCGCCCCTCCTGCTGATGCTGACCCCACTGTTCGCTCCAAGTGGGCCTCACGCGATGCTGCTGCACGTCTTGCTGTGCGTCGCCACCTCCCTTCTTCCAAGCGTGCACACTTTAGTCAGTGCAAGACCGCTCAGGCCTTGTACGACGCTGTAGTTGCGCACTACTCCTCCCCTTCCTCTGCTACACTGAGCCGCCTCATGCTACCGTACCTCTTCCCTGACCTTGCTGCCTTTCCCACAGTCGCTGACCTCTTTACCCACCTCCGCGCTAGTGACACTCGCTATCGAGCTGCGCTTCCTGCTGACTTCTGCGCCGCAAACCCCCCTCCCAGGTACATCACCCTCTACTTTCTCGTCACCCGTCTCCCTGAGTCCCTTCGTGTAGTTAGGGACCAGTTTCTCTCTGTCTGTCCCACCACCCTCACTGTCGACCTCCTCGAGAAGTCCCTGCTAGCGGCCGAGAAGAGCATAGTCGCTGTAGGGGCCTCTCGTGGTGACCCTCGCACCCCCATCTTTGAGGGGTGTTCTCCTTCCCCCCTGTTACCCTCTGTCGCCTCTGCTGCTGCGGCCGACCTCGTTGGTTTAGAGTCGGTCGGTGCGGCGTCTGCCCCCAGCGGTAGGCGTCGCTCTGGCAGGGGCAAGGGGGGCAAGGAAGCGGGTGGAGCTAGCGGGGGCGGTGGCGGAGGAGGTGGGGGCGGCGGGGGGAGTCGGGGTGGCGGTGGGGGTGGTGGCGAGAGTGGAGGTGCTAGTGGCGGCAGTGGAGGCGGAGGTGGCGGCGGAGGTGGTGGCGGAGGTGGCGGTGGGAGCGGCGGGGGCGAGGGTGGCGGTGGCGGCGGTGGCGGCGGAGGCAGGGGTGGCGGTGATGGAGGTGGTCGGAATGGCTCATCCCAGCGGAGCAGCACTAGGGGTGGTCAGCGCCAGCAGCACCAGCAGCAGCAGCAGCAGCAGCAGCAGGAGCGCTCTCGTGATGTCCCCGCCCCTCAGCGTCAGCGTGGTGTGGCGTTTGGTCCCTGCACCTACGTCCTTCGCACCGACGACCGCGCGGGTGAGCAGTGTGGGGGCGCCTACACCGCCCGCCGCTGCTTTAGCCGCCTGACAGACGCTTGGCGCCAACAGTTTCCGGAGGCCTCTGAGATCCCCCGCTGGGGAGAGCTGTCTAGGGCTGGTGTAGCTATTTTTGATCTTGACTTTGATGCTATCCTTGCTGCCATGTATGCTGTGACTGTTAGTGATGAGGGTGAGTGTTACCGGTGTTTCCCGCCCGACCCGGGCATTGGTACTGCTGCTCTCGGTGCCAGTGAGGCTGCTGCTCTAGGTGCCAGTGCCTCTGTACTCTCAGGTACTGGTGAGTCTGCACTCTCAGGTACTGTGTCGCCTTCGGCCTCTCACACCTTCACCCTGGACTCTAAGGCGTCTCGCTCCTTCTTTCGGGACCGCACCACTCTCACGCCGCTTAGTCGGCCGGTTGCGGTGTCCTTGGCTGACCCCTCCGGGGGTCCTGTCCTGTCTCTTTTCTCCACAGTCCTCCCGTGTCCGGCGGCTCCCTCTGGCACCCTATTTGGTCTCTACCTCCCCTCGTTCTCTACGAACTTGGTGAGTGGTGCTGACCTACAGGATGCGGGTGTCCACCAGTTTACTCCTGCTCGTCAGCGGGTGACACACTGCACAAAGGCTAGCACAGGTCGCCACCTGGCTACGTTTACACGTCAGCGAGGGTCGAGCCTGTACACACTGACCACTGCTTCTCCTCCCGGTGCTGAGTCTGGTAGGGTCCCTTCGTCTGGTCAGGTGTTTGCTGCAGCGTCCAGGTCTGGTCCTGAGTCTGCCCCCTGTTCGTGTCGCCGTCTGTCTCACGAGACCCTCCTCTGGCACCACCGCCTTGGCCA